TATATTTCTTCTCTCTTAGTGTCTTCTTGTTTCGCTTCATCCTTGAATCTTTCTCACATTGGAACAAACAAAGAGAAACTTACAAAACTACCAAGGGACTCAACCCTTAATGAAAAACGAGAAAGAAAACTTCAAGCCCGTCTAGCAGTGTTGGAGCTATCTACTCTCTATCTACAATTTACTTGACGGATCTAGAGCGTCACAACGCTCTACTCTCTGTCTTTCTCATTGATCCTTATGCCATCATTTGATACGAGTTTCTTTCGATGCCCACAAATGCATCGTGTCTTACTGTTTTGTATAAGTCAATTTATTTAAAAAGCAATTGATTGTATCTGCTTTGCGTGAGCAGCTAATTTAGGCATTGTTTGCGACACATTTCTTACTGCTTCTTAAAATAGCTTTTTAGTCTGAAAGTTAAAATTTTTGTACTCGAAAGCTGCTTTAAGAAGCAATAAAAAAACCGTCCCAAATGAAGCCGTACTGTGCGCAAGCAGGGCTCGTCTTCCCGTGCTCCACATGGCTTTATCCTTGGAACAATTATTATGTCCTCCGACCGGACGCAGAGGAACGTCTGGTCGGAGGCCAAATCCGGCCAAAAAATGAGTTGTACCGAGCAATACCAAACAATAACGAAGAATATCATCATTTGAAGACCCAATACCGAGTTATACCGAGCTAAACCGAGAAATACCAAGTTATACAAAAGTTGTACCGAGTTTTTCCTAGAAAAACTCGATATTTTTCGGTACAGCTCGGTATAACTCGGTATTGGTCTTCAAAGAGCGGTATTCCTCGTTACTATCAAATAATACCTAGTTGTACCAAGCAAATACCGAATTTTTTGGCAGAATTTTGCCTCCAACCGGACGTTCCTTTACGTCCTTACACCGGACGTAATAAAAGTTCTTATCCTTGTCACTTTACATCCGTTAGACTCAATCCAAGTAAACTGGATTAGTATTAAAAATATGATAGCTACAGAAAAGGCAATTATAATATGAAAAGAAAAAAAATATAAATTATCTGCAGCCAACGATTAGTTTTAGGTTTTATTTGAGATGACTTTTTAAAAACAGCTTTCTAATAAAAAAATTAACTTTTTGTATTGAAAAGATCTTTAAGGAGCAAATGTTTTATTAAAAAGCTGCTGTTTTAAGAAACAGCAAAAAAAAGCACTTTCTTAAACTTCGTTTGTAAGCGGGGACAGAACACCGACAAATGGTTTTTAAACGGCTTCCTCACAGCCATAAATAGCAACCATTCTCGATCACAATTTTCCGCACTCTCACCTCTCATCCTGCTATAATCAGTTAGTAGCTCTGTTTTAATTCGTTCATGGCAGGGCCGAAGATGCAATTCCTCATTGCCACCCTCCTCGATGCCAGCACCGTCGCTCATGCGCAGAACTGCGGGTGCGCACAGGGCCTCTGCTGCAGCAAGTACCGCTACTGTGGCACCGGAGACGCCTACTGCGGCGACAGTTGCCAGTCCAGGCCTTGTTATAATCGGCCACTGTCCAGTGGCGGAGTCTATGTGACGGACGTGGTGTCACAGAAGTTCTTCGACATCATTATTGGCCAAGCAGACTCCGGTTGCGAAGGGAAAGGATTTTACACTCGATCGGCGTTCCTCGATGCATTCTTCGACGCGGTTAAGCAGAAGTACTTTAGCTTCGATCAGGATGCTACTGCGGATGACTCTAAGCGAGAGATCGCTGCTTTCTTTGACTTCGCTACTCACGAGACGGGATGTAAGGATTATTTTCTAGAAATAAAAAAAAATCATATGTACTTTTTTTTACTATAAATATTTTTAATTTGATATATTATATATTATTCTTCACTATAATCTTTTTTACTTAGATAAAATTGTGAAGACAGCTTGCAATGAAGATTAGGTTTCATTTGAGTCGGCTTTTTTATTATTTGTTAAAAATAATTTTTAGTATAAAAATTTTAATATAAGATATTTGAAAAATTATATAAATTTCAATTAAAAAATATTTGAAATATAAAAATTCCTTAACTGAAAGATAATAAAACTGAATTTGATTGACTTTGTTTGGAAATTGGTGCTCTACTTATGACTTGAGGAACATATTATCATTTGTATCAGTTATCTTAATAATTAATTGACAAATAAAACAACTTTTTAAAAAATTGATTTATATATTTTTTTTCTATTCATCTTATATATGAAAATAAAATATTCGTTTTTTATGAATTTTTTAATTATTTGAAGTGTAAAATATTATTATTAAAATCTAATTAACAGCATCAAATCAAATATAAAAAAATATATATATCTAATAATTTTTTTGTTTTTTTTAAAGATTATTTTATAAATACAAGTAACATGACTTACAAAATTACTAATGTAACTTGCATGTTTGAAATCAATTCGTATAGACTTTTGCTACATAGAAGAGGTGGACAAATCAAATTTTTTCTGTGACAAGAGCTACCCTCAATATCCATGCACACCAGGTAAGAATTAATATGGTCGCGGTCCACTTCAAATCTCCTGGAACTTCAACTACGGCCCTGCAGGTCAAGATATTGGTTTTGACAGTCTCAACTCGCCCGAGATCGTCTCCATTGACGCGGTCCTTTCCTTCAAGACGGCTCTATGGTTTTGAATGAATAGAGTTCATAGTGTTGTCAACCAAGGTTTTGGTGCAACAATACGTGCCATAAATAACATTGAGTGTGATGATAGCAACACTGGGGAGATGAATGATCGTGTTAACATCTACAAAAACTATTGCAAATTATTTGGTGTCTCTTCGGGAGATAATCTCACTTGCTAATAGTATATGTATTGTGTTGTAAGTTTTTTTATCATGAATAATGGAATATGCAGGGGAACATGTATCATGATGTTCATCGATATGATAAATGAATAACCAGATTTATGCACTTGCTTGTCAATAAGAGAACAAATTTGCATTGAAGGAGCTTTTTTTTTTGTTAATTTATTTAGTTTTAGTTTCTTTTTCAAAATTTTTGATAGCTTTTTTAAATATTTTTTAAAATGGTTTTTTAATACAAAAAATTTGCTGAGTCCTTTCTGTGTCTTTGAACGCTTAGCTCAATCTCCGAAGGAGGCCCATAAAGATTAATACTTCTTATTGATTACCATATAAATATGAATTATGGAAGTCCATTCTACATTAAAGAAGAGAAGTTGAAAGGAGGGAAATAAGAAGAAGAATAAGAAAGGTAGAGGGGGTTGGGGGAAGTAAAACACACAGTAAACACAAACAAAAAAATAAAATACTAAGTAAAATAAAGAACACTGAGATTTTATGTGAAAAAGCATGAAGATGGGAAAGAACCGCACAACACAAAAACTTATTATGGCAAAAATAGTGCATATCTTTCTTCTCTCTTACTCTCTCCTTGTTTCTCTTCACCCTTCAACCATGAACTATTCCCACACTATAACATAAAGAGAGAAACTTACAAAACTACCAAGGGACGCAACCCTTAATGAAAAATGGGAAAGAATATTTCAAGCCCTTCTAACAGAGTTGTAGCTCTCTACTCTCTGTTTACAATATACTAGATAGTGTTACAGTATTGGGTCTGGAGCGCCGCAACACTCTACTCTGTCTTCTCCAAGCAAACTACGTAGTGCCACAACGCCAGGGTCTGAAGCACTGCAGCGCCGTAGCACTCTACTCTCTGTCTTTTCTCAAGCAAACTATATATAACAGGCGCTCGGATACACAACATAATTGCGCTGTATGTTATACAAAAAAAAAAAAAAAATTTACAAGTGAAAAGCACCCTAACCTACTTTCATCTCCATACTTTTGGGCTTTGGCTTTTTGCCAGCCAATCTCTATATTTTATTTTGTATCTTAATGGGAAAACCTGTTTTGACAAACTTGCTACTTGCTTGGTGATTCCATCTGCTTTGCGTGGGCAGCCAATTTACTGTGCGCAAGCAGGACACGTCTTCCCGTTGTCCACATGGTTTCATCCGTTTGACTCAATCCAAGTCAACTTCATTATATTTCTTCTCCGTTCTACGAAAAATTATTACGTGCAAAGTCCGGACGAATTCGTCCGGACTTCAATAGGAAAGGATCACATAATTGTACGCAGTATGTGTATTAATACACACACTGTGTATAAAATTGTACATAGTGTGTGTATTGACGATATGGTCGTCTTTTGTTGGAGTCCGAACACGAGCTATGTCCAGACTCTGTACATAATAGTTTTCCTTAATTTTTCTATTTGGGGAAGCAAGGCCTTTGGAATCCTCCAATAACTAAAGCACTCAAATATGCATGTCGGCCCCTCAGAGCAGTTTAATTATTGTGAGAATTATAATATTATTTTAAATTTTGAAACACTTCACACGTTAAGAAATCTGATTATAAAAATATCAAAATCTTGAGGGAAAAAAAAACTTTGAAAATCATTAAAAATATAATAGGTACAGGAAAAGTCATTATGACATGAAAAAGAAGAAAAATATATGAAGTGGCTGTCTCCAGCAAGGGAAATTATTTTGTGCAATCACCGGATTATTCGTATGCGAATCAGAATGCACCACGTCATCCGATATACTGTGATATATATCACCGATACACAACAAAAAATTGATATTATGCGTCCTGATTCGTTTCCGGACATATCGTGTGACCGCACATAGTAATTTTTCCCGCAAACAGACTCATAATACATATAGTAAGCGGGGCCAAAGCTCCGGCCAAATGGGTCAATCAGCTTCAGATGGGTTCTTAATTTCTCATCCTGTAAGTCGAATTGCGCGTATGAAAGATCAAATTGACTTCCGAATAAATTTCTGGATGGAGTTCCCGTCAAGCACGATGGAAAATTATTCGGTCCCCTTTGAATGGTCTCGACTCTTAAAGCCAGTCTTCTACTCAATTTCCATCCTACTTTCGCTCTTTATTTTGCTACCTAACATCATTTCACAGCTATAAATAGCCACCTTTCTCGACCACATTTCCCACACTCTTACCTCTCATTCTAATATAATCAATTAGTAGCTTGGTTTTAATTCATTCATGGCAGGGCCGAAGATGCAACTCCTCGTCGCCGCCGCCCTTCTCCTCGCCGCCAGCACCGTCGCTCATGCGCAGAACTGCGGGTGCTCGCAGGGCCTCTGCTGCAGCAAGTACGGCTACTGCGGCACCACTGCTCCCTACTGCGGCGACGGCTGCCAATCGGGGCCTTGTTATAATCAGCCACCGTCCGGTGGCGGAGTCTCTGTGGCCAGCGTGGTGACACAACAGTTCTTCAACAGCATTATTGGCCAAGCAGCCGCCAGTTGCGAAGGGAAAGGATTTTACACCCGACAGGCGTTCCTCGATGCGGTTAATCAGAAGTACTCTAGCTTCGGTCGGGATGCTACCGCCGATGACTCTAAGCGAGAGATCGCCGCTTTCTTTGCCCATGTCACTCATGAGACCGGATGTAAGCATTATTTTCTAGACAAAAAAAAGAAAAATCCTTATGTTTTTTTTTTTTTTTTTTTGTACTACAAATATTTTTAATTTTATATATTATATGTTATTCTTCAATATAATAAAGAATTTAGATAATTACTTAAATCTATATATATAGTGAGGGATAATATGAATATAAATGAGTAAGTGAGGCTCGAACTTAACTAGATAAATGACTAATGATTCAAGCTCAATGAGCTAACTACAAACTTGAACTGACCTAACTCGTATGGTCAACTTGTAAGCTGACTCATTTAAAATTATTAATATTAAATACACTTAAAATATATGAAGTATCAAAATTCTTTTTAGTTATACTATAACAATTATTATTTATATTGGGTATTTATAAATTTTTTCTTGCTAAGAAAATCCTATATTTCTAAAACTTTAAACATTATAGTTTCTTATATAATTTTGTTTATTTTATGTCAAATAACAAATAGCCAAAGACAAGCTTATTTGTTTTCATTAAATGAATTGTGAAGACTCTAATGAAGATTTAAAATTGACCTACTTGGCTTAGCTTGGAAGGTGGGTGGCCATGGTTAGGAACTCCCAATCTATATTGGCTTCCTCTCTCAAGCGGCTTGCCTTCTTTGAAGGAAGTAGCATAGCGTGGGTCTGGCGTCTGTGGGTTGGCTCTGCTAGGTTCCGTCAATGGATTAGTTGAAATATAAAAATTCCTTAATTGGAAGATAATATAACTGAATTTGAATGACTTTGTTTGGAAATTGGTGCTTTGCTTATGACTTGAGGAACATATTATCATTTGTATCATTTATCTTAGTAATTAATTGATGAATAAAATAACTTCAAAAAAATAGAATTACATTTTTTTTCCATTCATCTTATGTATGAAAATAAAATCTTCTTTTTTTATGAATTTTTAAATTATTTCAAGTTTAAAATATTCTTATTAAATTCTAACAACATCAAATCACATATAAAAAAATATCTAATAATTTTTTTTTCAAAAGATTACTTTATAAATACAAGTAACATGACTTACAAAATTACTAATGTAACTTGCATGTTTAAAATCAATTTGTGTAGACTTTTGCTACATAGAAGAGGTGGACAAATCAAACACTTTCTGTGACACTAGCTACTCGCAATATCCATGCGCACCGGGTAAGAAGTACTATGGCCGCGGTCCACTTCAAATCTCCTGGAACTTCAACTACGGCCCTGCTGGTCAAGATATTGGTTTTGACGGTCTCAAATCGCCCGAGACCGTCGCCAATAACGTTGTCATTTCCTTCAAGACGGCTCTCTGGTTTTGGATGAATAATGTCCATAGTGTTGTCAACCAAGGCTTTGGTGCAACAATACGTGCCATAAATAGCATTGAGTGTGGCGGTGGCAACACTGGGGAGATGAACGATCGTGTTAACATCTACAAAAACTACTGCAACCAGTTTGGTGTCTCTCCAGGAGATAATCTCACTTGCTAATTATATATGTATTGTGTTGTAAGTTTTTTTTATCATGAATAATAGAATAAGCAGGGGAACATGTATCATGATGTTCACCAATATGATAATGACTAAACTTATATATGTACTTGCATGTCAATAAGGGAAAACAAATTTTCATTTAAGGATTTTTTTTTTGTTAATTTATTTTAGTTTCAGTTTATTTTTCAAAAGTTTTATTCTCCAATCTTATTATATTTCCACAAACTTTTCACCCAAAAAGAAATTTAGTGTTAGTTTTTTATACAAAGATTTATAGTTAAAAAAAATGTTTTAGAAAGTAGACAGAAAATTGCCCCTAACGAAATCATAATTAGGATAATAAAATAAACTAATCTAATTTCAATATTTGCTTTTATGAAAAAATTGTCATTGAATTAACTTATTTTTAGTGAAATAGAATTGTCTTAGAAAGTAGTCAGAAAATTGCTCCAACCGACTGTCATTTTTCACGCCAATATTGGCGTTGCACTGTTCATCTCTGTCATTTTGTTGGTCTCTACCGAACTTACGGAATAAAGGCGCGAACGTCGGTTACGGGGCAAAATGGCGATCGATTGGAGATGAATCACGTTATTTTTCGGTTCCACTGCATTTTGGAGTGAAAAATGAGATTTTCGGTTGGAGATGCCCTTACTCCTAGACTAATCCTAGTTTTGGCAGAATTGTGGTTGAATCATGCTTAAATTCTGCCATCAAAGAACCCCTTTATTTTAATAATAGGAAAATCTTCTTAGAATTTAAGCATGTTGAAAAACTTGCTTGCTTGGTGATTCTATCTGTTTTGCGTGGGCAGCCAATTTACTGCTGGCAAGCAGAACACGTCTTCCCGTTGTCCACATGGTTTCATCCGTTTGACTCAATCCAAGTCAACTTCATTATATTTCTTCTCGGTTGTACGAGAAATTATTACGTGCAGAGTCCGGGCGAATTCGTCCGGACTTCAATAGGAAAGGATCACATCATATACGCAGTATATGTATTAATACACACAGTGTGTATAAAATTGTATACATTGTGTGTCATCTTTTATGGGAGTTTATTACGAGCTATGTTCATCAGGGGAAATTATTCTGTGCAACATTGGACTGTCCGTAGGTGAATCAGAATGTACCATGTCATCCAATATATAGTGATATATTCTACTCTGTCTCTGGACACGTCCTGTGACCGCACATAATAATTTCTCCGCCAACAAACTCTTAATGCATATTGGAAGCGGGGCCAAAGCTCCGGCCAAATGGGTCAATCAGCTTCAGATGGGTTCTTAATTTCTCATCTTGTAAGTCGAATTGCGCGTATGAAAGGTCAAATTAACTCTAGAACAACTTCTGGTCAGCTTTGAATAGTCTCAACTGCTAAAGCCAGTCTTCTACTCAATTTCCATCCTACTTTCGCTCTTCATTTTGCTACCTAACATCATTTCACAGCTATAAATACCCACCATTTTGGACCAAATTTCCCACACTCTCACCTCTCATTCTGCTATAATCAATTAGTAGCTCTGTCTTAATTCATTCATGGCGGGGCCGAAGATCCAACTCCTCATCGCCGCCCTTCTCCTCGCCGCCAGCACCCTTGCTCATGCCCAGAACTGCGGGTGCGCGCAGGGCATTTGCTGCAACAAGTACGGCTACTGCGGCACCAATGCCCTCTACTGCGGCGACGGCTGCCAGTCAGGGCCTTGTTATAAGAATCCACCGTCTAGTAGCGGGGGCGGTGGCATAGTCTCTGTGGCGGACGTGGTGACACAACAGTTCTTCGACAGCATTATTGGCCAAGCAGGCGCCGGTTGCGAAGGGAAAGGATTTTACACCCGACAGGCGTTCCTCGATGCGGTTAATCAGAAGTACTCTGGCTTCGGTCAGAATGCCACGGCGGATGGCTCTAAGCGAGAGATCGCTGCTTTCTTTGCCCACGCCACTCACGAGACCGGATGTAAGCATTATTTTTTTACTACAAATATTTTTAATTTAATATATTATATGTTATTCTTCAATATAATAAAATTTTTAGATAACCAATTAAATCTATGTGCATTGTGAGGGATAATATATTTCTAAATTTTAGACATTATAATTTCTTATATAATTTTGTTTATTTTGTGTGGAATAACAAATAGCCAATGGCAAGCTTATTGGTTTCATTAAATCGACATCAAATCAAATATAAAAAAATATCAAATAATTTTTTTTTCTCTTTTTTTTTTATCAAAAGATTACTTTATAAATACAAGTAACTTGACGTACATAATTACTAATGTAACTTGCATGTTTAAAATCAATTTGTATAGACTTTTGCTACATAGAAGAGGTGGACAAATCAAACACTTTCTGTGACGCTAGCTACTCGCAATATCCATGCGCACCGGATAAGAAGTACTACGGCCGCGGTCCACTTCAAATCTCCTTGAACTTCAACTACGGCCCTGCTGGTCAAGATATTGGTTTTGATGGTCTCAACTCGCCAGAGACCGTCTCCAATAACGTTGTCGTTTCCTTCAAGACGGCTCTTTGGTTTTGGATGAAAAATGTCCATAGTGTTGTCAACCAGGGCTTTGGTGCAACAATACGTGCCATAAATAGCATTGAGTGTAACGGTGGCAACACTGCGGAGATGAACGATCGTGTTAACATCTACAAAAACTACTGCAACCAGTTTGGCGTCTCTCCAGGAGATAATCTCACTTGCTAATTATATATGTATTGTGTTGTAAGTTCTTTTTATCATGAATAATAGAATAAGCAGGGGAATATGTATCATGATGTTCACCAATATAAGAAAACAAATTTTCATTTAAGAATTTTTTTTTTGTTAATTTATTTTAGTTTTAGTTTCTTTTTCAAAATTTTTTTTCTCCGATCTTATTATATTCCCACTAAAACTTTTCTCCCAAAAAGAAATTTAGTGTTTTCCCAACGAAGCTTTAATTTGGAATAATTATTTAGTACAAAAATTTATAGTTCAATAAATATTTATGATAAAAAATATTTTAAAAAGTAGTAAGAAAAATGCCCCTAATGAAGTCTCAATGGATAATAAAAAAAACTAATCTAATTTCAATATTTGTTTTTATGAAAAAAATTGTCATTGAATTAACTTATTTTTAATGAAATAGATTTTTTTATTATATTTAAGTGAGAATTTGGCTCTTAATAGGGTGAAATTATTGTGTGGATACGAATGCCGTCTGAAAGCGAATCAGAACGTGTCATGTCACTCGTTTGATATGAACCGCTGTGTACCAGAGGACGTGGCACGTTTTAATTCACCTCTGGATGGTCCGGTGTCCGCTCAGAATAAGTTCTCCTTAACATGGCACCACAGATAATAAATGTGTTGTGCATAGAGGCTTTTTCTGTGTCTTTGAACAGTTAGTTCAACCTATAAAGGAGGCCCATAAAGATTAATACTTCTTATCGGTAACCAAATAAATATGAATTATGGAAGTCCATTCCACATTAAAGAAGAAAAGCTGAAAGGGAGAAAATTAAGAAGAAGAAGAAGAAAGGAAGAGGGTATTGGGGGAAGTAAAACTTACAGTTAACATAAATAAGAAAAAAAATATAGCGAAAATAAAGAACATTATGATTATTATGTGAAAAAACTTAAAACTTAAAAGAACCACATAGTAGGGGTGTCAATTTTTTACACAACCCGAAACCCGACCCGAACCCGACCCAGAAAAATCCGGGTTCGGGTCGACCCATTTGTGAAACGGGTCAGGTTCGGGTTTAACAAAATGACCCGTTTCAAAAAACGGATCGGGTTCGGGTTGACCCGACAACCCGAAAATGACCCAAAATTCCTCAGCCCGCTCTGCTGCCCGCCCTACCCGGGTTCAGTTCAAGTCACGTCAACGCCTCACTCCTGAGCGGTGAGCGTCCCGAAGTGTCGAAAGCGCGAACGGTGAACCCAAAGCGGCGACGTGCCTGCTCGAAGTGCGTCCCGAACCGGCGAAGTGCAAACCCGAAGCGGCAAAGTGCGAACGCGTGCCACGCATGCGTGTCACGAAGCGGGGAACCCGAAGAGGCGACGGGTCTTGCCGCTGCCCCGCTGCTCCCGCTGCTCCGCCTGCGACGCTTGCAGCCGCTTCCGCTGCTCCGCCGCCGCGGGAGTATTTTAAAATCCGGGTCGGGTCAACCTAGCAACCCGCGCGTGTCGGGTCGGGGTTGAAAAAGCCGACCCGTTTACAAAAACGGGTCGGGTTCGGGTTGACCCGTATAAAGACGGGTTAATTCGGGTTCGACTTAAACCCGACCCGCTGACCCGATTTGATACCCCTACCACATAGCCACACCACACAAAAAAAATTTTATTACAAAAATTTGAGAGAAATAGTACAAACCTATTATTGTTAAGAAAATTCTATATTTCTAAAATTTCAAACATTATAATTTCTTATATAATTTTGTTTATTTTATGTCAAATAACAAATAGCCAATTACAAGCTTGTTGGATTCATAATGAATTGTGAGGACAGCTTGCAACGAAGACTCAAACTTCGTTTGGGACGTCTTTTTTATTGCTTCTTAAAACAATATTTTTGTATAAAAATTTTATTATAAAATATTTGGAAAAAAAATATAAATTTCAATAAAAAATATTTGAAATAAAAAAAAATCCTTAACTGGAAGATAATATAACTGAATTTGAATGACTTTGGCTTCGTTTGGGACAGCTTTCTTATTATTTCTTAAAGTAGCTTTCTAGTATAAAAATTTAAATTTTATAATAAAAGGCTGCTTTAAGAAGCAGTAAGAAAGCGGTCCCAATCGAAACCTTTGTTTGGAAATTGGTGCTCTACTTATGACTTGAGGAACATATTATCATGTGCATCATTTATCTTAATAATTAATTCATATATAAAACAAGTTTTTAAAAAATAGAATTATATATTTTTTCCATTAATCTTATGCATGAAAATAAAATCTTCGTTTTTGATGAATTTTTAAATTATTTGAAGTGTGAAATATTCTTATTAAAATTTGACAACATCAATCAAATATAAAAAATATCTAATAAATTTTTGCTTTTTCAAAAGATTATTTTATAAATACAAGTAACATGACTTACAAAATTACTAATGTAACTTGCATGTTTGAAATCAATTCCTATAGACTTT